GACGACGGTCCTGCCGTTGCGACGGCGCACCGCTTCCAAGGATCTCCGTCCTTCTTCACCAGACCACCACTCCCTCCATTCCTCTTACTGTGTGTGCTAGCCCACCCCTTGAACGCGCCAACTGCCCCTCCGCCTCCACAACCCCTCTGCCACCGGATCGATCCGACGTCTGTCCGTACGTCCGTCCGTACGCCTCGCCGACAACGCGGCTTATGCTCGCGCGTACGCGCCACGCCGTGCGACCGTGCCGGAATCCATCGGGTTAACTCGCGCCGATACAGAAGCGTATAGAAGTCGGAAGGGGATGAGGTTCGTCGAGAGGATGTAGAAACGGACTTGGTTCAATTGATGAAAGAGAGAGACAGGTGTGGGGGTGGTTGTTTGGTTATTGGTGGTAGATTTGTATACGCCGTGTTACCGAGTGTCATACAGGCCGATGGCGAGATTTATAGACATAAACATTCTATTGCAGCGTGATCGCTACGATGGGTCGATTTCTTTGGACAGGCTGAAGGGACAGGGGGTGCGATGTTTGGTTGTTGATGATGAATTTGTATGGGGTATTGATAAGTGTCAGGCGCGGTGATGGGCGAGTTGATTGATGAGCAGATTCAGGTGAATGAGATTAGTTGATCGGTCGATTTCTTCTTTAAATCATCGAGAAGGAAAGAATGGAATATTTAATCATTGCAACGGTGCTTAGATAATGTATTGGTAAATACTGGTAAGATGGTATCTGTGATTTCGAAGTTTAATTAAGAAACAGATAGGTTCAGGATTTTAGTTAAAGATTATTACTTGACTCTGCAGCTGAATTGTAGAAAAAACTAAAATTGCCTGATTTATTAGCTCGATCATGATGATATTATCATACATAAATTAGATGACAGGCTATTGGATGATTACTGTGACGAGGTGTTTGCTGTTTGGTCGAACTGATGAAGTTTCGATAAAACTTTTTAGACTGGGAAGTTTTTAATGTTTTATAAAAATATCTAAAGACCATTTTTTTGTACCACTATTAATAGTTGCTTTTTAAGAATATTAGTACAATACCAAATTGTTCTCGAATAAAGTGGATCCTAAAGTCTAGTCTAAATTTCATATCCACTATGCACGTCTAACGTATATGTGTATGTATATTGTATACACAAATGCAACAACTTCGAAATTATGCATGTACTTCTCCAGTTGCACCAGCATCTACAGTTCTGCCACTGATTCAGCTTAGTAGGTACTTCAACTATTATCATCAATATCTACGGAGTATACGTGCCACGTCTAACTACGTGTAGATTAACATCAAAACCACTAATTACTTCTCAAAAATGTTCACGGTGCCCGGTATCGTTCACAATGAAAAGTATTTTACAAGTAACATCAAAAAATTCGTCGCAATGTGCTCACAGTGTTCACGCATCTGCATAGCCTACCGTTATCGTAAAAGAAAAGGGTACAGAGTTACATAAAATACGATATCAGCTACATTTCACCTTATCTTTCTACCAAAATACTTCTGGATGCACGTCAAAACCACCAACCACTTTCGAAATGCATCTGCCATAAATAATAACAAATATTTTACTAGCTGTACTCTGTAGACGCCGAGAATTTCCTTCGTGGTATCCTGACATCCGGCAACTTATTCCACTAAAAAAGAAGATACGAAGTTATATAAAATCCAATGTAAGCTACGTTCTACTTCATCTTTCTACCAAAAATCTCTTGAATGCAAACCAATCTCGAATCAAAACATTTATCGCGTCGCGAATAATCCGAAATATTTCATTAATAATAGACGGAGTTTCTGTAACAGGTAAAACTCGTTCGTCCTCTCCTCACCATCCAAGAAAAGGATACAAAGTTATACTAAATACGATATAAGCTGTATTTCACGTTATCTTCCATTACAACACGGAGTTTCTAAAGAATCGCAGTTTAGGTAAAATTAAGACTGCGATAAAACGAAGTGCGAATAAGAAAAGAAGCGAAAACAGCGTGATACTTGGAGCGCTGAGAAGGAAACTGCATCGGGAAACGTATTGGGAACTCGTGTAGGGCTAAGATTACGAGTTCGCAGCAGGATTCGAACTTAGCGGGAAGAAACCATCGGATTAGCGCAGCCACGCGCGTTTACCCCCTGCGTATATGTGCATGTCACGC